GTGGGGGGGGGGGGGGGGGGGGGGGGGGGGGGGGGGTCTAGATCACGTTTCACGGAAAATAAAACGGTCCTTTCACGATTCGTGAAAAATAAAATAGGCATTTCACGCTCCACGGAAAAAAAAGGAGAACGTTTTTCTTTAAACAAAAGTTACATATCGTTTCATTTTTAAAAATTACGTCCAAAGCAAAGCCTTGTTTGTTGTTTTCACTATCCGTTCACATCGCGTTCTGCGCGATGCAAAAAGGAAACCGAGTTCCTCGTTCTGCATATCACGAATAGCACCATCTTCCTCCACTGCAAAATCATCAGAGTCGTTGTCGGAGAAGTTGTCATCGTATTCGGAGAGCTGATCGTCTCCTGGGTCCCTCGATGTAGGCGCGCCTTCTCTTCCCTCTTCCTTTGAAAATTCAGGTTGTTCTACTCTTTCAACTGGTGCAAACTCTAACCGTTCTCCCCGGTGGACAGCAGTCTGATACATGTTCAGAGGAAGAGTACCAGCCTTATACTTGGTGGTTTGGTAAAACCATGCAAGCTTGTTGTCCTTGTTGACGATTTTGGTGGTATATACTTCATGGTTGAAAGCCACAAGTGCACCGGTAAAATACACTCTGTGTAATATGTAGTATTGTGTCTTCCCCTAATAGCTAGTGGTAGTTACTAGTAGTTACTTGTAGTTACTAGTAGTTACTAGTAGTTAGTGGTAGTTATTAGTAGTTACTGGTAGTTGGTAGTAGTTGTCGGTAGTTACTAGTATTTACTGGTAGTTGCTAGTAGTTGTCGGTAGTTACTAGTAGTTACTAGTATTTGATGGTAGTTATTGGTATTTACTAGTGGTTACTAGTATTTACTAGTAGTTACTAGTAGTTACTAGTAATTGCTGGTAGTTACTAGTAGTTAGTAGTAGTTCTCGGTAGTTACTAGTAGTTACTGGTAGTTACTAGTAGTTGTCAGTAGTTTTTAGTAGTTACTGGTAGTTAGTAGTAGTTGTCGGTAGTTACTAGTAGTTGTCGGTAGTTACTAGTAGTTACTGGTAGTAAGTGGTAGTTATTAGTAGTTACTGGTAGTTACTAGTAGTTGTCGGTAGTTACTAGTGGTTACTAGTAGTTGGTGGTAGTTATTGGCAGTTACTAGCTGTTACTGGTAGTTACTAGCAGTTGTTGGTAGTTACTAGTAGTTGCTGGTAGTTACTGGTGGTTGTCGGTAGTTGCTAGTAGTTACTGGTAGTTGCTAGTAGTTATCGGTAGTTACTAGTAGTTACTGGTAGTTACTAGTAGTTGTCGGTAGTTAATAGTAGTTACTAGTAGTTGCTAGTAGTTGTCGGTACTTACTAGTAGTTACTGGTAGTTACTAGTAGTTGTCGGTAGTTTCTAGTAGTTGGTAGTATTGACTGGTAGTTACTAGTAGTTACTAGTAGTTGATGGTAGTTATTGGTATTTACAAGTAGTCACTGGTAATTACTAGTAGTTGCTGATGGTTACTGGTAATCGTCGGTAGCTACTAGTGGTTACTAGCAGTTGGTGGTAGTTATTGGTAATTACTAGTAGTTACTGGTAGTTACTAGTAGTTGCTGGTAGTTAGTGGTAGTTGGTAGTAGTTACTGGTAGTTTTCGGTAGTTACTAGTAGTTACTAGTAGTTATCGGTAGTTACTAGTAGTTACTAGTAGTTACTAGTAGTTACTATTAGTTACTGGTAGTTACTAGTAGTTGGTGGTAGTTACTACTAGTTACTGGTTGTTACTAGTAGTTGTCGGTATTTACTGGTAGTTACTAATGGTTAATGGTAGTTCTTGTTATTTACTAGTAGTTACTGGTAGCAACTGGTAGTTATTAGTAGTTACTAGTAGTTACTGGTAGTTATTAGTAGTTGTCGGTAGTTGTTTGTAGTTATCGGTAGTTACTAGTACTGGTAGTTTCTAGTAGTTGTCGGTAGTTACTAGTAGTTGGTGGTAGTTATTGGTATTTAGTAGTAGTTGCTGGTAGTTACTAGTAGTTAGTGGTAGTTACTAGTAGTTGCTGGTAGTTACTAGTAGTTGCCGGTAATTACTGATTCGAGTGGACTGTTTTCATTTGCTTGGACTATTTCTATGGACGCCATTGAAGTGAAAGTCTTGAAATATGACAGAACACTCAATGTCAGGTCCCGCTCGGAAAAACAGTTAGTTATATTTTTCCTCAAGTAATGATGTTTTCCTTGTTGATTTCATCTCCGGAAACATCAGGACTTTCGGCGTTCTCCATTCCTTTCCTTTAGGTTCCACCAATATGGCATAAAACCAATGTTCACACAAAGCAATCACTTTAAGTAGACTTAATTTGTGAAAGTTTATCTTAAACTTAATATGTCTTTACACAGAATGACAGGTTGGCTCATATATTCCATTTAAAGTGACATGTATCTCAGTCTCAATGTCACAACTCTCTTCCTTTAATTTTATATCTACTAATTTATAAAAACATCACTTAATGATGTCGCTGACATAGTCATTATCATATTCAAAACCCTGTAAACAGTAATAGTCTTTAATGTTTTTGAAGTAAATATCCATTTCCTAGTTGTAGTAGTCCTTTGTAAAACCAATGTTACACTAAAGGTTCTCTTTCTATAGTTGGATGCAAACGCTTTTTAGTTATCTAATTGTATAACGGCTGCGTAGATGGATCTTTTTTTTTTGGCGGTCGTAGCAGCAATATTTGAGATTACCACCTCCTTCTGAATATAAAGTGATCTTTATTTCTTGGTTTCTAAAGGGTGATCATGTCAAGATTTGACTAGCTATACTTAAGTTATACTTTGTACTTTCTGGCGGTGAAAGTTTGCACTTGTCATCACCGTGGTAAGTGGCTTTGTGGCACCATTTTTGATAATTAATAATAATTAATTAATAATTTTATTGATTTGTATTGCGCAAATATCAATCCAGGGAAAGAAATTTTCATCTGCGCATAACATTGACTCAACAAAATCCTAAAATCCTAGTACATATTCCAAAAAAAA